GAAACGTTGGCAACATTGGCAGCTGCTGGAAATATCAATAGCAATTTGGTAAGTCATATTATAAACGGAGAGAAGCAAGGCGTCGAACCGACCCGAGGAGACGCCCCAGTCGATGATGACTATGCTGACGAGGAAGCGGGAACTGAAGATCTTCCTCCTCAAACAAGCAGGCCGAAGGAAACTGACAGCAGCGAACACAGGCAGAGGCTTCCCGTGAGTTCTCCTCCTCACACTCAAGATGATATTCAGGAAGATACAGAATACGTGGATTACGGTGTTGATCTGGATCAGCAAGGTTCAAAACATGGACACGGAACCACAGAGAAAACAGAGTCAGAATATAAACAGCAGCACAAAAGCGAAACAGAATTAGCAAATACAAATCTTGAATTTGGAGCAAGAATAAGGCCGAAAAGGAATAAATGAATTTTATGAAATTCAAAAGACAAAATTACACCGCGCCACTCTATTTAGAACATCGTTGATCCATCGATAATCTAGATGTAACTATATATACCACCTGCTTTAACAGTCAATAATTCTGCGTTTTGTGTTTAAGGCGTATTTGTTGGTTTCATGTGATTCTCATACTAAACAGTGATTATTTTTTTTAAACAGGCTTAACCAATTGGTCGTCGTCATGGAGACGGTTTATTCTTTCTTCGAGGTAAAGACTGGTTGGTTTAAGTATTAATACGGGCTTAAGAGTCAAAGGAGTAAAGGACGAATCTATATAATTAATAATTCCACCTCCAAGAAAACATTTTTGCTTTTTAACGATATTATGATCATTTTTCTGTTTATTCTCAGAAGAAAAACAAACTCATGAAGAGATTATATGTGCAGCATGCTGAGTAACTAAATGTTAAAGCAGGTGGTACACATATTTACCGCCAACATACAAAGTGGTTTAGCAATAAATTCAGTAACGTGAGTCCCGTAACTCGCCGGAGGGCTGCAGGAACACAATGGGCAAATTACGCTTGTGATATCAGGGGCATGCGAGTGTCTCTGCCTGTGTTACTCGATTCCATTCTCAGATAAGAACAAAGTATAGCCTTAACGTTAGGCACATAGTACGAGGTAAGTGCAATAAATTACGTAAATAAAGTTACAATCTAGTAACTCCGTCTTGTCAACTATCACGTCAGTCACGTTGCTCATTTCATTGTAGAAATTTAGGCATAGATCACAGGCGTAGATAATTTCCGTAAAAAACAACTATACTTAAGAGTTGTTGTTTAATGGGTTCGGTATTTTTTTTGCAATTCATCATTTATATTGGGTTTCGAAGTGTAAAAATTTGTATCTCAGAAGATCTCAGAGGTGTCGCCCAAAGCGTAAGGTTTTTAAGTATATTTAAAATAAATATAATTTATTTACATTATTTCAAAAATTATATTCTGAGTTAGATTATAATTAAATTTAATAAATTTATTTCCTCAATTTACATTTAATTTCTTTCGGAAAATAGATAAAAACATAATTTATGATAACAATTTCTTTGCTTGGATGTTACGAAGCTCATAAAAACATTTGGCAAATCACTAAACTCGCATTCCCTGTAAAATCACCTTTTGCTTTTGTTTCGCGGAGTGACTATTTTCCATCGGGATTCACCCACGTGATCACAGATTCTGTGGCCTATTATAAAAACAGTGCTTAAAATTATGAATGAAATCCCTGCCTCAGTTTGGTGAGAGTAACTGATGATAAAGAAAAAGACCAGCTCTTGCCAGAAATCGACCCTCGATTTCGAAGATCGTAGAAAGTAACTTTACTGATTTAGCTATTTCGATAATCAACTATTGCTACTATCATATTCTAGGATGCTGCTTCATGTAGTTTGGTATAAATTGACCTGCATTTCGGCGGTGGTTACTGCCTACATAATCAGGTCGATAATGGATGTAGTAAGCACGTCTGAAACGTCGGTAAAATGCTACCAAACTACACCACAAATTATCCCAGGAGACAGTTACCTTCATACCGGTCACCACAAGAACCTGAAGTATGACCTGCTTTTGTAAATTTTAGGTTCTGTACTGTACTTAAACACGACATTCACACTCTATAAATTCGAGTAATTGTCTGCTGTATCCGCAGGATCTATGAGAAAGAACCTGACGTATGTGATAATAATCAAGTGCGGTTGACATTTATAAAGTCATTATTAATTTATTTCAGATGTGTTGATGTTTCTTTGGACTGAGAAAAACACGCTTGTTATTTATTATTGACTTTTCCATTTTATATTTTAATCCTTAAGTGTTTGTTTCTGTTTCATTGTTTATAATAAAAATATTTATCTTATAATATGTTATGTACCCCTTTAAATCATTCTAGTTTCAGTATTCAACGTCCGTTGAAACATAAAATTAGAATAATACGTTTGGACAACAGTAGTGTATTTTTCATTAAGTAAGTAGTCTACATTCGCATTTCATTTTAACTACATACGAACTACTTCAAACACGATTAAACCATTAATAGTACCTGCTACCCTTCCTGGCCTCAGAGTTTTGTAATTAACTAAGTAGGATTTGAGGTTTTCGCGGTGGTGAGTCTGAAGATGTCTGTCTTCTGGGTTGTTGTGCCATGTTTTCTGGTAGAAGTTCACCGACGTTTCAGAGGTCTTTGCTGCCTCCATTATCAGGGCGATTAGTCACTTTTAACAGCAGGATGCACCACGTAAATGTGAGGTCAGCATTTAGGTATCTGACCCAGTAATTCGCTTGTCTTGGAGTAAGAGTACTCCTGAGACCTACACAGAAGATTGAAAGCCCATGAGGACTTTTAAAAGCGTGATATATTTTTTGTGGTTAAACTGCTTCCAGTTTGAAGTCTACATTAAAAGTGTTGGTCTAGATTATACAGTCACGTGACGCATAGATTTACGTGAGTGCACAGAAACGTTTGTATATAAAACAAACAGATAATTGCTTGCTATATAAGGAATAAGGAAGTACTTTAACCCAAAAAAGGTGAAATGAGAGGCAAGGTACAAGATTTTAGGTAGAACATAATGATTAATTTCGTGGTTTAAGTTTGTAAAGTACAGGTAATCCGATATTATTACGGTTAATAAAATGTAGGAAATTGCTATTGGTTTTGCATGTATGGGGAAAAAGAATGCATACAGAATTTTAGCAGGAAAAGTTGTCGGAAATATTTAAATTAGAAGAAATATAAAGAAGCTTCATATGGTGATGGATCGAACGTCTCTGTTTAGTGATCAGCACTCGCACATTTCATTCTAAAATTTAGGAAATCCCGGGTTCAAATCTGGGCCTGATTTTTAGTAACATTATTGAGGTTTTCGTGATTTTCAGTAGTATATCAAGTAAAACAACTGTTTGTTTTTTTAAAAAATAGATGGCAGGTTGGTAGGGGGAGTTGGGATCTGAACTACGGTCACGGTGTAACATTACCCATAGCTACCTTCGAATAAAAACGCACTTTCTTCAAGTGAAGGTGAACTCTGATGTTAGTGAAGCAGACTCCAGCACACAACTCCACTCTCGCCGACTAGTGTTTTCAGTTATGAATTTCGCGTTTGCGTTCATCGCTGTATTAAGACAAGATGAAGTCATGACAGCAATCCACAGCTTTGGTCTTGGAAAGCTTTACATTCGATATAACGTGAGTTCAGAGTTTCCTTTCTAAGTTACAAGACAATGAACTTAACTATCGATTTAAAATTTTGTCTTTTTATAAAATGAGCATATGCGTCATCGTTGATGTTATTTAATGTGAAATGTAAATGAGATTCTCTTCACTGTCTATAAAAATATTAAGAATGTGGCTTATTTCTTAATCAGTTTCTACTTTTAAATGATTAACTCCATGGGACAGAGTCGTTCTAGAGAAAATGATAGTCGAACAGGTTATCAAGAAATTCCCCAACTTTCATGGAATATTTATTGCCATGTTCACAAAACCTTATTCTGAGCCAGATAAATCCAGCCCACATCCTCAAAATCAATTTCTTCAATTTTAATTTTAATATTATCCCCCAATCTATATCTAGGTATTTCAGGTGGTCTCTTCCCTTCGTGTTTTCCAAGTAAAATTTTATTCGTGACTCGTCTTTCATGCCTGCTGCATGCCCCAGTTGTTTCATTATTCGTTTATTCGTGCCCCCTTTTATTTGGTGACGATTTCATATCTTATCATGAAGCCTCTGAATGGGCAATATTGTCCATTACCCTGTAACTTCCTCTCTCTCATAGGTCCTAATATCATCGTCTGTTTGACAAGAAATATTCTTAAACAATAACCGGGGTGAGCCAATGTAATACAGAGGCACATAAATAAGAAAGAACTCATTTAAACTCTTATCAATGGTATTTATAATTGCAACTTCTGGTGCTTTGGAAGAAGCTGAAATTATTTTAGGGCGATGATTGACTCAGTTACACGAAATAAACATAAGATTTGATTGACTTTCGATTTGGCTGAAACATTGTGGTTCAGGAAATTTGTCGTCAATTCGATCTTCCGTCCTTAAACGAGCCAGTTTTTAATACACCTTGAATTATATTTCGTAGTAAACGTCGGTAAAAGGAGCGAAGAAATCATTGCAAAGAACGAGGATTCTCGTTAAGGAATATAAGTGGAATGAGTTCCCATAACCCAGAAATATAACATGGAGCCACATTATCGAAAAACGTGTAATTATCTGAAACTTTCTTATGAATTTTCCCCATTGCTCACCTGAGCTTGCAATAATTAGCTGTCCACTTAATGAGAGAGCGCGACATACTCTACACACATGGTTACTCTTCCACATGCATATAAAGACGGGTCCGACGTTTTCTGTGAACTTCCACAGACAGCCATCAGCAAGAACAGTGCAAATTTTGTTACCAGTAAGGAACAAGGACTTCGGGTTTTGAGGTAGGTCCGATATAAGGCCAGCGTGCCTCAAGATAAATATACTTGACACTTTCACTGCTGATCCGTGGAAACTCTTGACCTAGGTAAATGTCTCCGCTTCTCCAAATGCGTATTTAAAAATATTATATCGAATGCCTTGAGAACATTTAATTTGTTGCTAGAAATGTAATGGCATGACTTTAACTACAAGTTCTGAGAAGAACCTACATTCCTCAGGATGCTTAAATATGTATTTTAGGCTAGAAATATGTTTTAAATAATAATTATACGGTTAACTACACATTTGGTTATTCTAATAATTTTTACTAGAAAGGATAACCATTAGATACGTGAGTTTTCTCAGATATAAACGTACATAATTCGCACCTCGACACGCAACATGTGGTATCTCAATAAGGATAGTCGTTATCCGGGCCTGGATTTAAACCCGGGAAGTCCCGACTACGAAACACGCGACCTCGCCTAAAAAGGAAATGAAAAAGTTGTTCGTTGTAAAATACCAATGTCCCAGTCGTAATAAGAAGTATATGATATAAAGTTAATTGGGACTTGCGGGTGAACAGCAGTCTGCGGACCACCGGTTTATGAATCCTGAATCAGAGCACTCAGTTATCTGGGGCATGCGTAAGGCATCGGATGAAAACAGAGGATGTTTGCGGTGTGACCCCCTGGAGGTAAGCTGCCAGGCCACGCCTCCGCTCGATTTATTTACCTGTTAATTTTCGATAAGAAACAATTGGCAGACTGCACATTGCACATGCCTGTATTTGTTTACCCCTGACGTTATTTTGCGATTACTGTTTCCTGGTTCACAGCTTCGTTCACTTTCTCCAGGACCATTCAGTGAGAGGGAGGAAGACAGGGGCTGTAGTTCCAAGGAGACGTAAAACCAGGTCTGGGGCAAGGCAACGAACGACCCACTTAAACTATCTCCTTCTGGGGTAGAGGCGAAAACTGAGTGCAGAATTATCGTGATGCTTGCAAGAGTCTCAGTTAATGCACCAACGGTGAGTGGCATAGTCAGGAAGCCATGTTACCCGCAGTGAAGGCGGACTTCAGCAGTTGGACGGCGGATCGCACAACATACATGTCTGTGAGTATCGGTGTGCAGAGTCACAAATATCTTGGGCATCTGCAGGCTTAAAGTGGATTAAGTAAATGCTTATAAACTGATGGTTCCAGGACCTCTGATGTTGTGTGGCGACTCAGTTTGTGCAGGTCACTGAATTCTGATCAACATTGTGCCCTACGTAATTTACCACAGCCAGAAAGAAATGCCGTTTTATATTTACCGAAATTTTTGTGAGTTCAACATCTCTGCTTCGTAACCGCTGCCTTTAATTCGGAGAGTGAAAATTTAAAATGCATTTGATTGTTTTAAGAGACTATAAATATCACGCAGGGAATATATTACTCCAAGTATCAAGACATGATCTATGTATTAGACCAGTATATCGGTTTCCGAAATTAAATTACTTGACCGAGTATTAAATCTGATGTAATATGGATGGGGTTGGGGGTTGGGCGTGGGTAACCTAGCGCTTTGAACCTTCTCTACTGCTCCATTGTAAAATACAATCTGCTGGTAGTAGTAAACAACAAATTTCTTTAAACAACGTAAGATTATACTTTTCAGGGGAGTAATTTCGGGCAAAAATGCCAAAGAGCGTCCAAATTTGACTCGAAATAACATGTTTGCTCCTAGGTCTTCATTTGAAGTTTTCCGAGCTAAATTGTATGTGGATTTCTTGTTTCTAACTATGCCCCATATGCGCCGAACGAGTGCCTTAAATAATGTGGCGTGTGTTAACATCTTGCAGAACTTCAGAAGCAGTGGTCACTACACCAAGACGTTCAGTGTAATTTGTGTTTTGATGCTTGAGTTATTTAACAGCGCTTCAGCTGCAGAAATCATATATTACGGCGTCGAATGAGATGAGTAAATGATTATAAAGGTTGCGTATGTAAAGGGGTCTGGTAAGATCTGCTCGTAACTCAGTTCTGCTTGGTGAACAGATGTTGAAACATTTATCAGTCTTAAATGGAGTTACAGACTATAAATTATCGGGCTGAGTCCGTAAAGTGCAGATGTGTGAATAGCGAACT